TCCTCCTCCTCCTCCTCCCTCTTGCCTCCTACCTCCTCCTCCTCCTCCTCCTCCTCCTCCTCCTCCTCCTCCTGGGGGCACGCCCTTCGACGACGACCTCTTCGCCATCATGGGCAAGTGCAGAAGATTCTGGGGCGGATGGGGAGGGGCGCAATAGAAATCTCGAGGAGCGCGCTGGTCGTCGAATTTGAGCATTCGGAGGTGCCTCAGGCCTTCTGTAGGCCCTGGGGCCATCGGGGGGTAAGAACCTGCCGTGGGGCACCTTCTGGCAGGCCTGTTCCCCATTTTACGAGAGGGGAGACGATAAGGGGGTGACCGACTCAGGGCTCAGGGGGGTGAGGCCTCCCCAGGGCGAAGCCCAGGCGCAAACTTTTTCGCGCGGGGGAAAAAACGCGACGACAAATGTTTGGTAATTCCTGGCTTCTGGGGGCCCTCACTGGGCCCCCGGACCGTCAAAAAACGTCTCGGGATGAAAAGCAGGTCCCTGGGCTGGGTGGGGATCCACGTAGTGAGAAAGTCATGTCGTCGTGGGTCGGGGGGGGTGAAGGGGGAACGATAGGGGGACCAGCTCAAGGGGGGAAGCATCGAGCTGGAATCGGCGACACATCGCCAAGAGATCGGCGATAGGACCCCGATAGCGATACCGCGCGTTCCTGGGCGGGCTTGGCTATCTGGCCATGATCGGCGATGAACAGGCGGGCGGGGGTCGATGCGAGGGGAGGCCTCCCGAGGACGAGCCCAAGGGGGGCAGACGGATAGTGACAAATTCTGCAGGGATTCAGAATAGCCCGCTGCAGCCAAAATCGAGGAGGCAGACAGCTTGATAAACTTATGCCTTCGGAGGTCCGCGATGAGTTCTTGGATGGGCGCCGGAGTCCCCCCTGGAGCGAGCTTTGGGCGGCGTCGGAGGCGCGCCAGGGGCGTTCAGCGCCGATCCAAGACATCTGCGCGGGCCTCCGAAAACGTATGTTTAGGCCGAGGTGTCTTCTCCGGGGGGACTTACCAGACGGTCGCGTGGTAGGCCGATGAGTCGAATGTTCGCTAGCGGGGGGGGATGAACGGGGGAGAACGACACGCGCACCGTTCCGTCACCTTCAGGGTCAGCAGTGGCAGATTAGGTGCCGTTTAGGGCCCCTCTAGGGCAACTCTCCTGCAATACTCGATCGCCCCTCGCTTTAAGGTCGGGAACGTTTGCTGAGCCTGGCGTGACGGCCGCCCCGGCGACATGACATGCCGTGCAAGCGGATATCGTCTCGCTCCGCTCCGTGGGGGGATAGAAGATGCTCGGGAAGCTGGCGCCTGCGCAAGGGAGCGCTTTTCCTACGACAAACCCTCGATGTTACATAACTCGCATGATGAATGACTTCCCACGGCGGCGTCAGCGTGGGCGAAAAAAATGCACCACTCAGGGTTGCCAGACGCGGCAGCGTCCTTGGCCAAGTGCTGAGGAAAAGGCTGAAATCCCTCCACTGACCTGGCACGCACCACTACGCCAATCAAACGACTGAAGACCCGAATCAAACCATGCATAAACCGATCAAGCATACCAGGATGTCTGGGCTGGCGACGCGAATGCAGGCTCGAGAATCCACTGAGAAACCGTACCTCGCGAGATTGACCTCTGAACGGCTCAAGCAAAACGCCAAAGGGCGTGGTTCGCGTGACTCGCCGAAGCATGCTAATTAGGCCAGAACCGGCGGCGCGACCCCGTCACCGAGCGCCCAAATGAGGCTCGAAGGCGAGGCGCACCCGGGCACCCCCAGCAGCCCAGCGAGGCCATCGGCAAGACTACACCGCAAGAGGCCTCCCAGATCGGGTCCAAGTAGATGGGGTCGGGAGATCGCGCCGCATCGCCGATACATCAGCGATGCATCGGCGACATCGGCGATGCATCGGCGACGTCGGCGTTGAGAGAACCGGGCTCCACATCGGGCCGCGATCCTCCGACCCCATCTATTCGGACCCCATAGGGGAGGCCTAGATTCACCACCTCCTGCTCTTGCGGACTGGCGCTCGCCGTGACAGCCTTCTTAGGGAGGAGGGCGAGCCGAGACAACGGCGGCCCCCTTGGGGGGGGGGCTGGGGGCTGTTCGTCATTGGTGGCCCTCCTGGCGTCTTCTCGTCGCCACGGCTGGACTCGCCTGGACAACCGGCCCAGGATGGACCTCGGGAGGGCGAGGAGGAGGAGGAGGAGCAGGAGGACGAGGAGGAAGAGGAAGAGGAAGAGGAAGAGGAAGAGGAAGAGGAGGAGGAAGAGGAAGAGGAAGAGGAAGAGGAAGAGGAAGAGGATGAGGAAGATGATGATAATGATGATGATGATGATGATGATGATGATGATGATGATGATGATGATGATGATGATGATAATGATGATGATGATGAGGATGAGGATGAGGATGATGAGGAGGAGGAGGAGGAGCAGGAAGATGAGGAGGAGCAGGAAGACGAGGAAAAGGAGGAGGAGGAGGAGGAGAGGAAGGTGCCCTGGGACCGATCTTGAGCGGCGGGAGAGCCGCCGCTGTCTCTCCACTGGTCCTCCGAGGTCGGCTCTGGCCTCGGCACCTTATCGGGAAGAGCTCTGGAGCGGGCAGTGCGCGCGTGAGAAGCACGCGAGGAGAGGGCGCGCGTGCCCGCCAGCTCTGCCTCCTGCAGGAGACACAATCGTCCGTTGTCCTCCTCCTCCTCCTCCTCCTCCTCCACCCTCCCTCCTCCACCCTCCCTCCTCCTCTCCCTACCTCCATACCCCCCCATCCTCTGTCCCAGTCATCCGGCGTCGTGATTTGTCCCAATCGCGGCTCCACAGAAGACAGTCTGGATCCCTTCCCAGTGACCAGCTTGTCACCCTGAGTCATGTCTGCGGACAGCCCCAGGGACCGGCAGGGGCCCCCAGAGACCGCAGACTGCCGAACACCTTCCGCCGTGGCATGTCTGCACGGCGCGAGGCTGTCAGGGCCCTCCTCCCTCCCCGGGCGTCCCTGTAGATGCGCCAGCAGGAGATGCACAGGGCCACCTGCCAGCTCGGGGGGCCGGGTGCCGCGTGGCGCGGGGAGGGGGTGCCCTCCTGCCGCCCAGCCTCGCAGCGGCTTGTCCGGAGGCTGCGCTCGGGCGCCGACCGATGCGACCGCTTGCACGACCGAGTCGATCGAGTCGATCTGCTGCCGCGATCCGAGAAGCAGCGAGCCGCCTCCGAACCCGAGCTGCCGCTGGCTTCCGCGCCCAGGCTGTCTAGGGGGCCTGCTGCCTCTGCGCTGGCGCGGACGGGCGCGTGTCTTCAGAGGCTTCGGCGGCGCGCGCAAGGGGGTCGCGCGATGGGGAGGGCCTTCTGAGGTGGGGGGGCTTCCAGGAAGGCTGGCGGCCGCATAGAAGCCCTTCGGGCTAATAAGAAGGCTTCTGAGAATCCTACAGGGTCTTTGAAGAAGACCCCGTCTGGGAATTGGTAGGGCGCCCTTGGCAAGACACCCTTCAGGCACGTCGATCAGCGCAACCGACTGGGGACTGCACCAAAACACTCGAATGCCAAAGTCGAGCGAAGCGTGCCAGATTTCCTCAGTCGACTTGTCTAACTAAGTGGGCGTTCTCGTATGGAGTTCTCCGCCTTCTGAGAAGGCCGTCCCGCCCATGCGCCCACGACTTGAGGGGCAACGTTATGGGGGGGACATGCTCAGGTGGGCTCAGCGACAGGTTCGAGGCTCGAGGTTTTCGGACGTTTTCGTCATTGTCTATCGAACTTTCAGCCTCGGATGCTCTTCAGCAGCTGCGCATCGCCGAGATCCCCTCGGCAACTGGATCGTCCCAAACGGTCGCCAGAGAGCCGAGCTGCAATCAGAAAACCAGGAGGCAACGTTAGAGGGGGATATGATCCCGGGGGGTGCATCGACCCCCGATCGCCCCTTGATCGCCCACAGGGGCCCGATATGTAGCCCGCCCCATCCAGGAGTGTGCGGGCTCGCTGTCAGGGGCCAATCGCCGATTCCAGGTCGATGTTTCCCTCCTGAGCCGATCATCCCCCGCGAACGTTGCCAATGACGACTGCCCCCGCGACGGGTACGGTGGGTTCATGTCATAAAGACTTCCGCGTTGGGTTCCCGGAGAGAAGGAAGCGGCAGAAACATGAGCTTTCAGAGGGCTGGACCTCCCTGGCGGCGCCTCCCGCGAAGCCGCTGGCACGCTTCGGCGCGCCAGGGAGGGAAGCCCAGCGCCGATCCAAGAGATCCGCCTTCGAACGCCCGCGCTGTGGTCGCCGCGCCGACGCGACGGAAACCTGCCGCACGAAGACTCTGGCTGCCTCCACGCAGGCGTTCCCCCCCCTGGCGGTGGAGCGCTTCGTGATGTGCGCGCAGGCAGTCGAGGAGGGACAGAGACCTCCCTTTAGCATAACGTGGTTCAATGAAGACGACCTCGGGCCCAAACCTGGCGGGCGCAAGCCTGGAAAATGACGGCCGCGGCGCCCTCGCGAGAACCGAAAACGGACAATTCAAGAATCGACGTGTCAGGGTAGGTCTGTCCACCCCCGAGGCAGACCCTATCCCTCTCGGCGCCGGCGCTGCTCGCGGCGGCGAGCGCGAAGGTGTGGGACCCCCTCTGGGGCGCCAGATCTGGCCGAACTCGGCGCGTCCCCCCCGAAATGCCAGCCGAGCTCTGTTGCGGACCTGTGCATCGACAGTTCGGTCAAGTCGGGTTTGTCCTTCTGCAGGAGGACTGTTCCAGAAATAATCAAAAAAATCATCCGGGGAAGATTGTTTTTGGTATTTTTGAACATTTGTTGCAACTCGTTTGGCATTTGTTTTGGCTTTCGTCCAAAATCCGCCTGTGGGAGGACATGCCCGACCAATGATTCCAGTCATCAGGTCCACGTGCTGCCCTCCGACTGCCAATTCTGGCCGACGCCTCTCGTCGCATCTTCTCACGGCCCGCCGTGCCAATGGTTTCCTCCTCCTCCCCCTCCTCCTCCTCCTCCTCCTCCTCTGAGCCTGCCGTCGACAAGAACGTCCTATTCATCGCTGCCCCTCAAGGAACCGGGTTTCCGCTACCACGGGACTCCTCAACCTGAGTCGTTGGAGGAAAAGCTGACCACCCCCTCTCACAACCCCCACAACCCACACTCTCGCTCTGCCACCTTCCTCTGCCCCCCGTCTCCCCCCCCCCACCACCACCACCACACACCTTCCTGCCCTAAATTCTAACACCCTCACCCCTAAGTTTGACTGATTATCCTCCTCATGAGTATCCTCGCCATCGGCGTTGTAACACTCCTCGGGCCTCCTCCTCCTTCTAGGTCTCCTCAGATCCTGCTCCTCCTACCACTCTCATCACTCGTCTTCTCTTCCTCCTCCTTCTCCACCCTCCCCCTATCCCCCTTCTCCAATCCCTGCTCCAGCTCCTCTTTCTCCCTGCTCCACTACCCCTGCCCCATCCCTCCACTCCCCTGTCGCCTCTCCTCATATTCTTCCTTCTCCCATGTCTCCTCCACCAACTCTGCGGCGTCGTCGTCGTCCTCCTCCTCATCATCATCACCATCATCATCGACAACCTTCGCCCTTCTTTCGAGCGCAATCCGCTAACGGTTGCAGCCGCCGTGGGCGTTCCCAAGCAGAAGGGAGGAAGTGTCCAAGAGTCCGTACATGTTTTGGGAGCTGGCGCTGGCGACCTGCATGCCACACGGGCTGCGGTGTGGGAGCCGCCCGTCTTCGGAGTCTGGGGTGGGTCATCCGCCTCCTCCTGTTCCCTGTTATCTTCCTCATTTTCTCCCACTTCCTCTCCTACTTTCCCCTCCTCCCCGCTCTCGTTCTAATACGCAACAGCTTCGGCCGCGTCCTCGTCGTGGTACTCAATATCACTATCGTCATCCTCGTCGCCCTCGTAGCGCTACACTCGAATCCCACCAGTCCTTCAGGGCGTAAGTGGTCTAGGGCGGCTTCTCATCCAACCTCAATTTTTTCCCCTTCGGAGAGGGGTTTACCCCTCCCCCTACCCCCTGGACCTGGACGGGGGGGTCGCGAAGGGTTGGAGCGTCCAAGATGGCCCAAGATGGCTCCAAGATAGCGCAACAATGCTCAAGATGGCTTCCAAGATGCTCCAAGAGGCCAAGACCACCCCAAGACGGCTCCAAGTGGCCCGAGAGCTCTCCAAGTAAGCCCCCAAGAGGCCAACACCTGTCACAAACCTGAGGAACATCAGTGAGTGTGGGTGGCTTTCTCGCCTTTTCGCTTCTGATGGCATTCCTAGACCTTAAGATGGCTCCCAGATGGCCAAAGAGGGCCCCAAGAGGGGCACGATACAGAGCCCCAAGACGGCCCCAAGAGCGTCCACGAGCGCTCCAAGAGCGCCCCAAGAGGGCCCCAAGAGGAGAGTTAGAGGCTCCCGATGGGCAGTGCTAATTGGGGCTCCCGTTTTTTGAGCCCATTTGAGATCTCCAGTGGCCCGCGGGTCCTTCAATATGTTGACCGATATCCTTCAAGATGGCCCCAAGAGCGCCCCTCAAGCTCCCAAGAGCGCCCCAAGAGGGCCCCAAGAGGCGCCCGGACGGCCCCAAGAGGCGCACAAGAGGCCTCCAAGAAGCCTCAAAAGGATCCCCGAGGCACCCAAGACGCTCCAAGAGGACCCCTGGGCGCCTCGCCTGGGCATTGTTTATGGATGTGCTGGTGGGGTTACGCGAAACGCCTGGAATTGATGTGATCAGATTAATCCTCCTACTTCTCCTGCTCCTCCTCATCATCTTCATCTGCGACCTCGTCCTGATTCGACTATTCTCATCATCCGTCTTGTACTTTACCTCATTATCCGCAAAATCTCCGTTCTCTTCTTTGTCCTCGTCTGTGCCTCTTCATCCCCCTCGTCTTTATACTCGTGATGCCCATCCTCATCCGCATCCATGGATCGATCGCTTCCATCTAAAAGGGCCCAGAAACAAGTATTCTGAAAGAAACAATCAGAGCGTCACACATAACACAGTGCATGCGTGATAAGGAAGTCCTGCCCAAGGAGCTGTTGAAACGCGCCTGGGAAATCACAGGAGAGCTCCCGGCACAGATTGCTTCAAGTTCGGCACATCTGGCTGGGAAATATGATGCTCTCCCCTCGATATTCCCCCCGGGTAGGGGTCGTTAGAATTTAACAGCAGGTCCCCCGACCCAACCTGTTCCGCATATCGCGGCCGACAGATCCCCAGCCCCACCGAGAACCCCGGAGACTCCCGCCACTCCAGACCCGATGATAGGAGCGGATCACCAATGGAGAGGACCATCATGACATAATCTGCAGTACCATAATCTAATCAAACGCGACGTGCGCGCCAAGGTCAGGCTGCCCACAGGAAGAAACAGGCGCAAAAACGGCCGAGATCGGACGACGTATCTAACGTGGCAAGCGTCACGACGTCACGCCGGCCCGTCGAGAGCACAACAGAGCATAATACCGTATAACCTACCAAGACATGATGACATAGACCACCACTGACAACTGTTAAATTCAGTCACGACAGATTAATGGCACCTTGTCAAGCGCAGCAACCACGCCGACGTAATGCTGGCCACAGGACACAAACATGCGCGACAATGACCGAATGGACGAAACATCAAACGTCGCAGGCGTCGCGGCGTCACGCCGACCCGTCGAGAGCAGAACATAACCGTATGTGCATAGCACAGAACATGACCGAACAACACCTCACAGAGTGGAATACAGCAGAGGCCGAGTAATGCCGCCCTGTCATACGCGACATGCGCGACGAGCCCACGCTGGCCCCAGAAACAAACAGTAGCAACAACGACCGATTAGACGATATATCAAACATGGCATGCGTCACGACGCCACGCTGGCCCGTCCAGAACAGAACGTACCAAAATGTATAATCATTTATCGCAACGGGGCAACACGCAAGCGAACATAATATCCGCCGCCGTGCCTCTGGGCACGGAGTGGGCGTGTCCTCAGGTCCTTGGCTGGATCCCGGGAGCCTCAGCCCTCAGTCCTGATGAATCTCTTTTGGGCCGGACCCCACAGGGCCGAATT